ACGGTAAGGATTGTTTAGAATTGGTTATCTGACGATGACTTGAGTTTTATCTCTAATTTCTATGTTAAACTCACGTTCTACTATTAAAATCATGAACATCGGCGGGCCAGCCAGGGGGCGAGAGGGGGCAATTGCCCCCCCTGAAAAAATTTTTAGGGGGCAATAAAGTTTTATTGCCCCCAGCATTGCAAGTGTTTTTTGCACGGTTATGGCTCCATCTGTAGTAGTACAGAGCCATTTTCTTTATTGGATGCACTTCTGAGCCATTAGAAACGTTTTTTTTTCTTAATTCTCCTGTCATTTACATGTACAATAACATCTTTCTCTTCAAATAATGTCAATCGAACCTTTGCAATATGTCTGAAAAAGGTACACTCGACTTCTACTTCTCGATAAAAAAAGCTTATGTTGCTACACAAGCGAGTCCATGTGAATCGATTCAATCAACTATTAATGAATATTCGTCTGAGCAAGTCTTGAATTCGAACAATTTTACAACATCATCTTCCATATCTTCATCATCGACGTCGACAACACCAGCAATAACTCTTGATGTTAATGATGAATCAATTCTCCAATGTTCACAAGCAGCTGGTGGTGGTGTAATCTCCGTCGAATCTGTTCAACGAGATCCATCACGTGGTCCAACGTTCGCAAAGGAATTTGCCTCACTTGGACCATATCAACCAAAATATAAATATCCAACTGTTGAACAACGACATTTTTGTCATCAATGGTTTCAAAAATACCAATGGCTTGAATATAGTATTACAAATGATAAAACTTACTGTTTTGTTTGTCGATTTGCTTATGATCCAGTGAAGTCTGATAAAGCATTTACAGTCATTGGTTTCAATAACTGGAAAAAAGGTATTGAAAAGTTCGACAAACACCAATCAACCGTTTCACACAAACAAGCACATGAAACTTGGATAACTACCGAAAAGAATCGAATTAATAACACGAGTGTATTAAAGCAAATTAATCGACAATTTAGTGAACAAGCCGAAGAAAATCGTCTTTACTTAAAAGAAATCATTCGAACGGTCATGTTTCTAGGTAAACAATGTTTATCTTTTCGAGGTCATCGTGAAGACGAAGAAGCCGAAAATCGTGGTAACTTTCTTGAGTTACTTCAACTTCGTAGTCGTGATAATGATATTATCAAAAAAAATCTTTCCTCGTTGAAATTCACTGATCATAAAATCCAAAATGAACTACTGATATTAATTCAAGAAAACATTACTAAACAAATTGTATCGGATATAAAGAAATCCAAATATTTTTCAGTTATGATTGACGAAACAACAGATATTTCGAGACATCAACAGGTGTCATTAGTTATTCGGTACGTCGACGATTTCTTCAATGTTTTTGAACGTTTTATAGGCTTCGAACGGACATTTGACACAACAGGTGAAAGCTTATTTAATTTATTAGTATCGTGGATTAAACAACTCGATTTGGATATTGGAAATATTGTTGGTCAATGTTACGATGGCGCTAGCTCTATGCGTGGTGAATATAAAGGTACTGCAGCTCGAATGAGACAATTGGCACCAAAGGGTATGTGGTAGTTTTAACCTTTGTATTAAAAACAACTTCCAAGCTTTTCAGTGAAAATAATTAGTTCTTCAGGTGTTTGAACAGATGCATATTAGAGCGTTACACATGCTTGAACGCTTTATGAACCCAATATCCTATGATTGTTTGTCACTATAGATTAGTACAAGGATGTAATCTTGAAAGATTGATTATGATCACAGGATACGAATTGTCTATAAACAATAACCTTCGTAGTTTCGCCCGTCTTGAAATGAATTTTGTATATTATTTTTCACGTAAAATAATAGAATGCAATACACATATGCATAGAGGAGTTCGAGACATTTACGCAGCACATATTAGTTTTATAAGTGTTTGCTTCTTCTTTGAGCACAGTAAAAATATGTGAATGCATCCATTTTTGGATGGCCTGTTGAGAGATGAGATGGCTCGTGTGAAATGAGCTCGAGTTTATAACTTTTGACCATTCACAGAGAAGAACTTTAGCTATGTTCCGTCAATGGGCAATTCCAAGAACACTGAGCAGTGCTCAGTGTTCGTGCTCAGTGAGCACGAAATTTCGAATTGTAATTCATTCACTAGAAATCCGTCAGCTCGAAATTTCGGTCTCATATCATACAATCCATCTCATCTCTAAACAAGTTACCCAAAAAATGGATGTATTCACATATTTTTACTTTGCTCAAAGAAGAAGCAAACACTTATAAAACTGATATGTGCTGTGTAAATGTCTCAAAATCTTCTATACATATGTGTATTGCATTCTATTATTATACGTGAAAAATCATGTATAAAATTCATTTCAAGACGGACGAAACTTTTGTCGTCGACTAATTAAATAATCACTTTGTATATGACAATATTTCGTTCATTTGTAGCTATTTACATCCATTGTAATGGTCACGTGCTGAATTTATGTTTGGTCGATGTCTCATCAGCTATTGTACCAATTCGGAATAATTTCGGTGTCGTTCAAGCTCTTTATAATGTGATTGAAGGATCAGCTAAACGTCATCATGTATTTGAAGATGTACAAAAACAAGCTGGATTGAAACCATTTGTTATGAAACGAGTATGCGATACTCGTTGGACTTGTCGATCGGAATGTTTAAATGTTGTACTTAATCGATATTCAGAAATACTCGATGCTCTGGAAACACTTGACAATGGACACGGACTTATCATGTTGAATACAATTAAAAGATTGGATTTTATTTTTCATTTACTTATTATGTATGAAATATATTCAATAACAAATATACTATCGAAATATTTGCAATATTCGAACATTTCGTTAACTAGTGCACTAGTTCATGTAAGACTAACAATTGAAACATTAACAACATTACGAACAGAATCGAAATTCGAAGAATTTTGGAGGAAAACTATCGATATTTGTGAAGCTAATGATATTGATGATCAAATCGAAATCCGAAAAAGAAAAATTCCAGCAAAGTTGGGAGGTGGTTATGTAATTCCAGATAATTTTTCAATTAAAGATAATTATCGTGTAAATTCATATTTTGCAGTCACTGATAAGATAATGACTGCCATTGCCAACAGATTTGATGAAAATAATGTTGATATTGTCGTCCTATGTGAAAAATTATTTTTGACGAAAGATTTACTTTCGTCTGATGAAATTCGACAATTAACTACATTTTATGAATTGAATTACAACGACTGCAAAAGTGAACAATTATTATACAAAACAGCAATTAACCAACAACAAACAATGAACATGGATATCAAGTCGATTACAAAGTTTTTTCTTCAAAAAAGTTTCCATCTCGTGCTACCAACTATGAATGAATTACTTCGGATTCTATGGACAATTCCAGTAAACGTCTGTGAATGTGAAAGAAGTTTCTCATGTTTACGACGCTTAAAAACTTATTTGAGAAACACAATGGATCAAGAACGTTTGTCTGCTCTTGCGTTGATTCATATTGAGAGAAACATCACCATTGATATTGATGAAATTGTAACAAAGTTTGTTATGAAGAACGAAACTCGAAAAATACAATTTTCTCAATAAAAAATCATGTTGCTTTTTTTACTCTTATAGTTAGTATGTTTATTGTCATGTATATTAAGGAACTACAATAAATATGAAAAGAATGAAACTAGAATGCAATGCAAATCGACCATACATCATAGTCACCTTATTCATATCTATCATTGCCTTCACGAAAGTCTTTGAACGATATAGGGCTTAAATGAAACTTTCAAGGCAATAGCAGAGCTTATTGCAAGACGAAACGCCGGAAATTTCGGTGAAAGCGTTTTGATTTCAGAAAAAACGAATATCGGTTGTAAGGAGGATAGAAAAATATTTTGTATGGATCCGAAACTATTTTATTGCCCCCCCTAAAATTTTTTCGCCGGCCCGCCCATGTTCCTATCAAATTATTTCGTACTGTATACGTCCATTGGTCGAGCAAGAATATCAAGATGTAACGATCATACAAGGTAATATATTATCGAATTTCACATTCAATCAGTTGGAAACGCGCAACATAACCGGAGAAGATTTACTTTCTTGGTCTGCTCCAATTGATCTTGTCGAACGCTACGAAAACTATCTGAACGGGTCAAAGGCAAGCTCAGCATCTGAAACATTTTATAATTGCACACCACTGTGGTTTGGAACGTTTTGTCAGTACACATTCGATTCGAACGTATTATTTAGTCAGATTGTGAACGAGACATTCATGGCAAAGATTAGAGATGGGGACAATATGTCAAACTTTGATATCACGAATCTGACCTGCTATGTGCATCTTGAATGTAACCGTGGACCATCACCGATTTGTCTTGATTGGCGTGAAGTGTGTGATGGAAGAGTTGATTGTTTAGGTGATGGAGTTGACGAAATGCATTGTTTGGAGCTAGAGATAAATGAATGTGAGCAGGATGAGTATCGATGTCACAACGGAATGTGTGTGCCTGAAAAATTTATTAACGATCATCCTTACAACCCAGATTGCTTGGATCGAACCGATGAAAACGATTTCAACGATTTTAAAATCAATCGAGTTTTTGGATTTCCAGACTGTGTTAAAGATCCGACATTCCGATGTGAAGAATCGGATCATTTTTTTGGCTATCGAGGTTTG